CCCTCATTCTTGGCAAAACGGGAGCAATCTGATGTAAAGAAAGTCCCTAAAGGTGTTCCCCTGCAATTTGATATAGTTTTGGAAGACAGACAGGGATGACTTTGAATGAGTGATTTGGAATCCTGAAGGAACAAAGAGCCACTCTCACATTCAACAAAGGAGGGAGCCGCTTTGTAACCTGGGATAGAACCCATGTTAAAGGGACTTTTGAGTGATGACTGTTAAAAAGTTGAATTGCTTGAATAGTTTATCACAGAAATTCAAGAAACTTTATTTCAAAATATTCACAAGGCTAAATACTCTTTTTATTTTTGAAGTTTTTTTTTTTTTAACATGTATAAATAATGCCCTGGAAGAATAACAGGGAATATGCCTACCTGTTGTTAAAGATTTCTTGGTTGAGCCAGATGGAACAATTCTCTAGTTGACTTCTTTGGTTCCTCATACAGCAGAAAGACAGAAAGAGAAAAATTATTTTTATGATAGTGGTATTTAGTATCTCATCTCCTTTGCCCACTTTTTGTACTTTGCCATGGTAAATCTTGGTCTTCAGAAAAAAAAAAATCCAAAACATATCTATTAAAGACTAAATAAAATAATTCTCTTAGAACTTTTAAAACTTAGCTGAGAGTTTTGAGAGACTTGAATGAAGAGAAATATGTATCTGGAATATTTTAAATATGCCAGTTTCTGCTGATTTATGGGTTTAAGGTCATTTAAATAAAAATTGCAATGGGATTATTCTTGGGACTTAATTCCATTTTTTAAAGTTGATTTATTGTAGACTTGTACCTTGCATTACATTGTGCCTTTCTCTGCAGGAAGATTATAAGAACCCATACTTTCTGGATTTAGAGAGTAAAATAGAAGTACAGAAAGCATTCTAGAAGCCAGCTATGTTTCTTTTTCCTGAGCCTGCAATCTGCAATGTTCCAGAGTAAAAGAATCCAGAACAGATGCAGCCAACCCTGGATAGACATGTGGTATGAGCAAGAAATGAACCTTGGCTATTGTAAACCTCTGACATCAATAGAAATATCTATCATGATTTCCTTTGGTAGACTTGAGAGATAGGCACTGAACATCAGAATTGTGAGCCCTTGCAATTGGAGAGAGAAAAAAAAAAGACTAAAAGCAGCAGATTAATTAGCCATGGTGGCTGGTCTTTGCAATGGCAGCCAGACAATCTAGCAGGGGTTCTCAACCTGTGGGTCGCGACCCCTTTGGCGGTCGAACGACCCTTTCACAGGGGTCGCCTAAGACCATCCTGCATATCAGATATTTACATTACGATTCATAACAGTAGCAACATTACAGTTATGAAGTAGCAATGAAAATAATTTTATGGTTGGGTCACAACATGAGGAACTGAATTTAAAGGGCCAGAAGGTTGAGAACTACTGATAGTGCAAATTTAACTGCGGTTCGGCTGGCATTGTTATCCCCCAAGATGCAATGTGGTGGAAGAAGTCAAAATGATACCCAAGACTTGAAATTCAATGGAGGGCAGGAGTATGTTCTAGGCAACCTACACATTCAAAATAAGACTAGTGCTAGTCAAAGTAATGTAGGATAGTTAGAGTTAACCTGACATAAGGACCTTGAAGACTACATGGTTAATCTTAGTGCTTGGATTTAGTTAACAAAAATAATGCTGGATAATAACAGCTGGTGGGCTGAAGACGCTAACGGACTAAGTCCTCATTGCTTTTGGCTGGGGATGATAGGCCTGAGCCTATGTAGATAGCCTCAGAATTCCTGGAGGGAAATCATTGACACATGTTAATAGTAAGAGGAAATAGCAGGGGAAAGATTTCACATTTCCCAAAGGTACTATAATAAGAGACTTGAACTACATTAGCTTACTTAATATTGGTAAATGTGGAATACATGTCATTATTATTATTTTCATATAATGGATGTGATAAAATTCAGAATGTTAGGTAGTAGCATAACTAATATTTGCAACTCAGTATGTCATGACTTTGAAAGACATACTTGGACCCATACCATGATGCATCCACCTCCCATATTATATTGAGAGGGGCCAAAGGTGAATGTTCTCAACATAATTTTGCTTAATGTTATTTGACTACAGAGATTGGCTGAACGGTTGTTGGAGAGTCTGTAGTGCTTTATGGCATTACAATGAGTGGATTACTGAACCCTGTGTATGGACAGTCATCTCGATGCAGAGCACAATAGTCTGTATTGCATGCCCTTCGGTGAATTCAGAGAGACGGCTTCTTTGTCATCGAGGTGGGAGGCAAACTGGATGAATGCACAGATTGCCCTCTAACCTGTCCTCTCAAAACTGCAATATGTATTCATGGAATTAGGATCGAACCTGTCACTATGAAGAAAAATGATGAAAACCTATAGATCCTTGTAAAGGAGCTTCAGAACTTACGTTACAGTGAAACTATGCATGGTTCTTTGAAGGCATTAAGCTGCACAAGAGTATGCTGATAACAAATGTGAAAGGAGGACGGCCAGGTGTACACAAGGAGATTGAAATGCCGCTTACAGGAACAGATGACTTCAAAGGGATTAAATTAAGACATAAAAAGCAGAGGCATTGGTGCTGCTCAGGTTGCTGGTAGAAGTTGTGAAAGTTTCCTTCAGTAATGGGTCAGCCTGAATGTAGCTTAAGCTGTTACTGGCAAATTGGATACTAATAATCACTGTTTGTTGGAGCGGTGGCTCAGATGTTAGTGAATGACTTCTGTATCAGTAAATACCCAGGAGGCTCTCAAGTTCCATCCCCTTGCTGGTTTGCCAAGAGGTTGGCAATTGGTTAAGCTTTCTTTAGTTGGTATATGCATGCTTAATATTTATACAGAGATTTGCCCAAAATATTACAAGGAAAAAGTCCCTCAAATCAAATCAAAGCTATGGGGCGGCAGAACAATAAAAGTTATAGAATCACACCTTAGTGCAATTAATATTTATGGAGTACTGATTATATACTAAGCACTAGAGTAATTGCTAGGCAACAATAACTCATGCCCTTGTCGATCTTCGAGTCTACTTTTATCAAATAACCACATACATAAATGTAAGACTGCGACTATGGCAAGGACAGTGAAGAAGAGATAAGAGTGCTTATAGGACCATTTAAAATTGACCTCATCAGGTGATTAGAGAAGGTGTCCCTAATGAAACAATTTTCCTTCTTGAATCTCCTGAAGGGTGAGTTAGTGTTAACTAAGAGAAAAAGTTTACCCACCGGGGGGCATGATATGTGCAAAGGTTTCTTGAGACAGCAGGGAGCAGAGTAGAGAGCTTAGTATAGAAAGAGGCTAGAGAGTAGGTAGAGACCAAACAATGTCACGGCCATATTTTTGAGTTATACGACCCAACATAGTTGCCACTAACTAATGTGATAGTTTAAATCTATACTAATAAAAGGATAATATGCTAATTAGACCAGACGTCTTCCAGATGACTTTCTGGATGTCCTTCTTGACAAAGCTGGGCCTGGGACAAGCTGCCCACCCCCCGGGTCCCAGGTGCTAGTGCCTGCGGCTGTGGCCCAGGAGAGGGACAAGCCGCCGGCCCCATGATGCCCAGTGCCAGTGACTACAGCTGTGGCCTGGGAAAGGTACAAGCCGCCCACCCCACGGTCCCAGGTGCCTGCGGCTATGGCCAACCCGGGCGAAGCCGGCCTGGGTCCCGGGTGCTTGCAGCCAGAGGAGGGAATCCTGGGTCCTGGGTGTGGGGCAGAGGCAGAGGCAGTTAGGGGCAATTAGGACAATAGGGGAGCAGTTAGGGGCGATCAGGCAGACAGGCAGAGGTGGTTAGGGGCGATTAGGCAGGCAGGCAGGTGAGCGGTTAGGAGCCAGCGGTCCTGGATTGCGAGAGGCATGTCCAACTGCTGCTTTAGGTCCGACCCCACAGGGGTTAGGCCTAAACCGGCAGTCAGACATTCCTCGAGGGGTCCCAGATTAAAGAGGGTGCAGGCCAGGCTGAGGGACCCCACCCCCATGAACGAATCTCGTGCACTGGGCCTCTAGTATGGATATAAAGTGATTGAAATTAAATAAAAAATTTATTTCCTCAGTTGAACTAGCCACATTTCAGGTGCTCAATTGCCACTGTGGCTAGTAGTTACTGTATTGGAAAGTTCAGAAAACATTTCTATTACTGCAGAAAGTTCTACTGTATTACAGTGTTGGAAATTAGCTTTATTCCAGGAGTGACAGGAAGTCACAGAAGGATTTTCTTCAACATTGCAGTATGGAGTGATGTGATCAGAAGAACCATTTTGGGAAGAACTTGATGGCGATAGAATGGGGACTAGTTTGCCTGGGGGGAAAAATCAAATTGTATTTAAGTAGGCCACTTAAAATGCTATTGTAGAACTAAGAGAAAGGTTATAATAGATGCAGATGAGAAAAATGGACAGAGTTGTATGAATTTAGGAGCTAAAATAGACAAGAATTAGTGATGAATTAAATTTAGGAATTGAAGGAGACATTTTTGGCTTTCAAAGTTTCTTGATGGTGGTTTTATTCATTGACAGGAGGGACAGTGGAATAGGGTCTGATCTATAGAGAGGGTGCTTTATGCGAAGTTCCTGGGCAATCCAAGAAGTCAAGAGGCAACAGGATATAAACCTTCCTTTCATACTTCTCAGCCATCCCACAACTTGTTCTTTTAACAGACTATGCAGCTTAGAGCAAGGCTCTGTGGTGTGATAGAGCTACATTTAGGTCACACACCTTATAAAAACTGGACATTTAATTGACTGGAAAGGTAGCAGACTCATATTCTGAGTGCTGAATGGGATGCCATAGACCCCACAATGTACTTTCATTATTTTCTGGATATAAAGACCAAATGCTGAAGAGTTTCCCTGATTTGTTGGTTAATGGCAGAGAAAGTTCTGTTTCTGCAACTATTTTTTCTGCTTACACCATGTTACTTCCCCAGGGTGAGAAAAGTCAGACTTTTCTGGTCTAAAACTTTTGTAGTAAGCAGTTGTATGAGAAATATCTGTGGAATTGCCTAGCCCAAAGGCAGGCAGCATAGAAGTCTGCTTTGTCATCAAGGAGGGAAGATGCTCACTAGGGTTCTTGGCACAACTTTAAAGGTATATTTCTTCAACATTTCTTGATCCTATAGCGGTATATTTTGATGCTATCTGTAAGTTGCTCAAAGAATTTTAAAGCAGTTTTAAATTTTCTTAGCCACAAAGAACTTGTCAAAGACTGCTGAACAGCTATGAAAATGTGGAAACAAACACTCCTGGTGAATGAATAAGCTCACCAATTTGGAACAGGTTTCAAAAGACAAAACTCAGCATTTCTTGTTGAGGTAATATATCCCTGCTGTTTCATTCAGTTCTCTCATTCTCTTGCTTTATTTATTATTTCCATCTGCTTAGGTAGACTCTAAATTTCCATTATATCCCAATATTTTGTTAGGGTGAGTGTAAAATAAAATTTACTTACCTGAATAACTAATTCATTACAAATATAATTAAGAAAGATTAATCATATGTAAAACAAATTTTTGCAAACTTATTTTAAAGGGGGATGATGACATACACCCAATTTAAAGCAAATATTTTCAGTTTAAAATATCGGGTTTTTTATTCCATATCTTGATAGGAAATAGAATCTTTAGTGTATATTAAAACAAAATAAAGTCGCGATTAATCCTTGCATTTAAGTAAGTACCCAAAACATTTGATGCTTTTTTCTAAGTAAGCTGCTTAACAATCTGGTGACATACAAAAAACAATGCCACTTCTTTTAACTACTTAAAATATAAAATGTGGCAAAGTGAGTTTGTAATATCTGATAAGAATTTAATTGGTAAGAGCTGAGAAAGGCGTTAATGGTTTCTGTTGAATATTAATCAATTAAGCATAACTATAGAAACACATATTATGGCATCAGTACTGAAAATATATGTATGTCAGTTGTGACTGAATATTATTCTACAGCCATAAATATTTCCTTATCCTTTAGGACTCTTGAAATAAATGATTAGTGGTTAATGTTAACATGACTGAGAATGACTGCTATGCCTCCATTGCTGACAAATTTGATCATCCCCAAATATTTTATCTATCACAAATATGAAGGCTAGAATTCACATTTCTGTTTTAACTACTACATTAAAAGATAATTTGAAATTTTCAAAAATTAAACTTTGGAAAAATAATTTCAACCTTAATAAGACAAGTAAATTTAGAAGTGATAGTTCTTGTTTCTTATTATTCTTAGCATGGCATATATTACAGAGGGTCCCACCCCAAAAAAAGAAAGTCAAGTTCTTGGAGTATAAGGTAATAAATGCTATATCCTGTTACTTTCATTATATATTTTACAAATTTGATGTAAATGAGGAAAATGTACTCATGGAAGTCACTATTATGTCGGTTGTATATTAACTTGACCTTTACCAAGGAAATATGCTTTGAAAAGTAGAAATGAACCTAGCTAGGTAATAGACATTAGTCATTAACATTAACTAAATTTTCAGGTAAACAATAAATCTCTTGACTCTATAGCTAGGAGTTAATTCAGTAGAGTGGTTATCATCAACTCCAAGCCTTTTGGGTTTTTAATTGTTCTATTCAAATGAAAAGCTTTATGTATGCCAGCTTTTGTTACCACCCAATTAATTCTCAAAACCAATTAAGATAAAATCATACATAATAATCTTCTACTTATTACTAAGGGTATACAATTTGCCTCCATCACTTAGTTTTTTGACCCACCATTGACCACCCCTGATTATTGGAACTCCGGTACTCTCTGCTTCTTTGCTTATTAGCATTAACAGACATTTGGAAAGAGACACCCACTTCAATTTCATATAGACATTGCACATTCTCTATAATTTTAATAGCTCCATAATTGCTTGTCTTTGAAGATCTGACTTCAGATTATTTGGTTTTTTAACATCACTCTTGCTTGAGAACATGATACTAACCCAATATGATGTAATTAACATGGCTGTTGGCTGGTTATCACTGTTGTTCATATAAAATTTCTGAGAATGTAAACCTATATATTAGAAGAAACATTTTTATTTAAGTTTGTAAAATCAAGTGTGTAAATTATATTTCTGATTAATTTTTATTTGGACAGTTGACTATTGTGTTCCTCACTTTGGATAACATTCATACATTTTTAGACACCCAATTAAGTCTTTTTTTATTGTAGAGTATTATAGTATTAGAAAAAATGTTATAAATTCTATTTGATTATATTTTTCCATAAACATAATTTATAATTATATAAATTTAAATTTACTGCAACATCATTGTGAAGTTTAATGCTAAGATATTTTTGTCCTCTGGATTTAAAAATAATTAATAAAGTTTATGTCAAGAAATTAACAGTATTCAAATGTATACTGTTAATTCAAATTTATGCTTCATCAATATAAGTAAATTCAGTTATTTTAAATTAATATATATTTTAAAGATAAAAAAGTAATGAATTTGTGTTTGTGCAAAACTCTGGGGTAAATCATAAATATTATTAGCTCCATGAAATTAATTTGTTGGCTTAACACATAAAATGTCAATAAATTAATTCATTTTATATCCATGTTTATATTGCTTCACTAGTGAGATATTTCTGAGTTCTGATTACATGTGCATATAAAACATCCCATGTATCTAATAAGCTTTGACAGTAGCAATGACAGTAGCAATAGTCTAAACCAGTAGCAATGACAGTAGCAATAGTCTAAATCAGTGATTTTAATAGGAAATTGAAACATTTCCGTAATTTTATGAAAGAGGTTGGTTTAAGAAAGGAGAATTAAAGATGTAGCTTGACTTTGAAACGTCCTCTTTGAAGCTATCATATATTTTCTTCATGTTGCATACATAATGTTCTCATAATTTTAGTATTATAATTGTAAAGAAAAATATTAATTTGATCAAATGTTGATAAAAAACTACAATTCTTGTTCTAGCTCTAATTTAAATACCGCAGGTAAAGTTTGATTAGATGTCAATGTCTCTAGCCACCAATCATGCAAAGATTGAAGGACCAGGCACAAAATTGGTGAAGAAATTAGTCAAGGGTTGGAGGCAGAGTAAAGTCACCCAGTCTTGGAATTAATAGGATATGCAGTTAAAGAACAGGTTAAAATAACAGAACCTATGACCAAAGGCAGCCTCTATTTTCTCAAAGATTTAGGCATATGTTTAGAAATGAAGAACTAGGTGTGGTTGAAGGAGAAGAGGATGGAAGTGGAGATATTTAAAATGTAAAGGTGCTTGTGGGCAAACACTCTCAGGTAATAAACTACTTCCTTAACTTTATGCAAATACTGGTATTTGTTTTAAAAATGCATATTCTGACAGACTGATGAATTCATCTCAATTGGTTAAAAAAAAAAGAAAGAAGTCAGTTAGACTATGCTGTTTTTTGTTTGTTTGTTTGTGTGTTATTTTGTACTGAAACTGCCAGCTGTCCTCAAAGTCTTGAGTTGATAAGTAGGAAGTTAAACAGCTTAAAAGAAATTCAGGTATTGTTTCTTAACTCAAAGTGAAGATAAAATATGAAACAGAATATCAATGATATCAACAGAAACAGCAATCATAAAACAATTTGAGACAGCTGGGAATGAATTCTGTAATAGAAATCTGGAACTCCATCATAACTGACTTTTATCTACATTTGATTTAACTTTGATCAACTCAGAAGAGGCATCGTTTTAAAGTAAATTTTATCTGTATTTGCAACCAATTTTTCACCTGGCTACATTTCACTTACAAAGACATTAATACATTTTTAAAATAATGTTTTTGATAAGAAAATGACCCTCGTGGTTTTGTTTCCTTTATAGAGTAAGAACACACATGCCTTTGCCCACAGTTGCCATTTTTTAAAGCCTTCCTATTTAGCACTGGAAATGAAGGAGTCTCTTTTCCTCTATCGTGGTTTGGTTTTATAACTTTGATACTCTATTGGCTCCAGTTTAACTAAAAAAGATTGAGAATTCAATACTCAATAGAGATGCTGAAAAAAAGCATCCTTCTGGTAATGCTACCTTATCTACATTACAGAATTCTTCACAATAAAATAATAAAGTATATTTAATGAATTTATGACACTGTGTGGTTTAGGTTATTTTCCTGTGATAAAGGGGAGTTGGAAAACTCCCATTTCCCTCATACTCAATTGACAGATAATAGTGCCTGAGAAATTAAGAATAGTGTTTTCAACTGCATGCTTTTAGAGAGGTACCTATAGAATCAGACATTTGTTCGATATACCTTCACTGAGAATCTACCAGGACCTAGAACTCCTAAGTCAGTGGTCGGCAAACTGCGGCCCCTTGAGTGTGGCTCTTCCACAAAATACTATGTGCAGGCGCTTACGTACAGTGCGATTGAAACTTCGTGGCCACACTCAAGGGGCCAAAGAGCCACATGTGGCTCGCGAGCCGCAGTTTGCCGACCACTGTTAAGCTATAAGCTACATGAGAGTAGGCACTGTGCTAATTCACTTTTCTTCTTTTTTTATTTTTTTCTCATCGCCATTTATCCCCTCTTACCCTCTTCCATCTCACTCCATCCCCCCTCCAATCACCATACTTTTGTCTCTGTCCATGAGTTCTTTCTCTTTATTGCTCAATCTCTCCACCCTCCCAACAAGCTGCCCCCCTGTACTCCAGAAATTTAAACAGATTTGGTAATAAGAAATAAATGCTGACACATATGCAGGTCTCAAATGGTGAAGAAATGGTTTTGCATGCTGAACTTGGAGACTGGTCTTATTCTTTAGAAGTTAGGGAATGTGGAAGGACTCTGTAAGCAGATATGCTAATGTTTACCACATGAAGGATGGGATATAATGTGTCATTTCTAACATAGAAATGTTTGTTAGGAGACATTGGCATTATCTTGGTAGAGGTAATAACATTGTGAACAAGAGTAGCCACAGTGAGAGTGATGAAGACCGATTTGAGAAATATTTTTTGTAAAAACTAGACAAGATTGAGTAACCATCCTCCTTTACCCAACTTTGGAGAATTAACATACCTCCAAATCTTGGTCTTTGGTTCCTTTTTTTAAGGCACACAATGATGACTCCAGTTCTATATCTATCTCCGTTCTCTCTTCTGAGATCTAAGACTTATAAACACTTTCTTCTCCACTTGTGTTTCTAAGGAATCTCCATGGTCAAATGATTATTTTCCTGTGTTCCTTATTTTAGAATGTAGCCCCATCATATGACTGTGTCTCAAGCCAGAAATCAGAAACACCCTTGAAATATTATTCTTGTCTGTCATTTCTAACTTATTATGTCTTTACCTTTCTCTGGAGCTACCCTAGTCTCGGACCCCATCACCTTTCAACAATTGCAGGAGTTTTTAAATTGGGTTTTCCAAGTCTATTCTTAGTTACCTGTCAATCTAATCTGTGTAATGTATTTGCCATAATCTTTTCAAAATGTTCTAATGTGTTTTCTTCTTCTCAACGTGAATTTTTTAGTGACTTAATTATTTTATGATGAACTTTGGTATCCTTAATATGATCTTTAACATGTTATGTAATCTGGCCCCTGTCAAACTCGCCTGCCTCCTCTTAGACCATTCTATCTTGTGCTTTTTATTTCTCTGCTAAACTAGCTATTTTTTAGTTTCTCCAGAAATTTATATGTTCTCTTACCAAAGGACATTTTCACATACTATTTCCTCTCTCTCAAACATTAGCTCATCAGGACTCTGCCAACACCTTCCCCTTCCTCCCCCACTAGAGAGGTAATAAACAGCTGTAAGGTTTCATAGTTACTAATGCATTTTGATTTATAGAACTGATTACAGTTAGAATTTATATATTGGTGTAATTTCTCCATTAATGTCTTGCTTCCTCACTAGAATGAAGACAACGTACGTGTTTTTTGCTCAGCAAAATATCTTTAGATTCTGATACAATTAATAATATGTAATACGTTCTTTTAGTGAATATTTGCCAATTGGATGACAATGATCAATTAGAATAGAGTAAGCAAAAATTTCAATATATACCAAAAATTCTTAGAAAACAGAGTATACTTTCAGACTCATCTGTGCATATGCTCACAAAGTCAAATATACATTTATATGTATATTATAATTCAAGTTGAAAATACTTTTTGATAAATGACTGGAAATAGAAGAATAAGCCATATTGCAGTGTCAAATACTCTTTAACCTTTCTTTGGGTTATGCTTTAGAAAACAATGCTAATCAGAGAATATCTTGGATTTCACCATAAAAGAAATAAAACAGAGCTTTGTGAGATTCTATTATATCTAAATTCAATATGTGGTTTTAAGAAATTGCTCTAAAGAGTTTTTGAAAGGTTACCACATGGAGGCCAAATAATTGGTGAAATAAAATACTATAACGTACGCAATAAAAATTGTTTTGTTGACCTTCTTGAATCTATTACTCATGGAGTAGTGAGCAAATCTTGTTAAAGGCCTTTGTGAGGAAAACTTTCTTCTTTAAATTCATTTACTAACCGCCTGTCCCAGTAGGGTAACACAATAAAACCATTTCCTGGGAAGTCAATGTAAATTGAAAAGAACCAGAGACCTGGTCTCCCACCAATTGCTTTATGACTGGGGAAATGAGAAGGACCTAAAGACTAGAAAATTTATACTTTATCCAGCTCTCATGTTTTATATTTCTGTTCATTTTAAATAGAGGCATGTTTTCCTTTTCTATGTGAGGGTATAGATGTGAACTAAAACACAAGGAAAATGATAATTTCAAAACAGATAACAGTGAATACATAACTGAGAAAATGTCACAAGACACATACACTTACCTGAATGAATTGACCTTAAGATTATTATATGTGTGCAGAGAATGGGGAGACCACCCAGGGTGGGGAAGCCATAAATATTTTTACAAAGAAGGTCAGTTTAGGCTAAGGGCTGGTAAAATTAGCAAATATAGGGAATAGTGTATCTCTTCTTCAATTAGAAATTTCTGGCAAATATTTGCTTATAACTCTATTTTAGCTTGTATCCCGTCTTCAAAATTATTAGCACCGTTACATAAATAAATAAAAACATATATTAAAATTATGGTGAAAATACACTCAAGAGGACTATTCTTAATAAGCTATCAGAAAAATATCAAGTGCCATTTTTGTCTAAGTGAGATTGGGAGGCTATTCCTCTCACAACTGTTCCTGGGATGGGGCAGCCACTCAACCACCACAGGAGATCTCTAAAGGGCATGCCAAAGAGAGACACCACCTCCCCCCAAAAGTGTCATTTTATTAGTGGGAAGAACCTGTTAAATTGCACTTAGTTTAGCTCAGAAACCCTATCCTAAAGTTCAGAAATTATACTCACTGGAATCAAAGGACAGAGACCAGGGTCAGAGCCAGAGAGAAAGCATTTGCTCCACCATCTGTGGATGAGGCAGCTCAAAACCAAGCTGCTTGCAGTGGCCTTCCTTAGGCCTGAAGAGTCCAGTTCCTGCCGCCTCACCTAAGGAAACTCAAGGAGAAATAAATGTTCCTGGTTAGACTAGGTTCTTAGTACCAAGAGACTCAAAGAATCACAGAAGGAGAGAAAATTTTTTCTGTCTTGAAAATATCTTCCCAGACACTGGAGCTTGGCTCCCTAGCTAATTGGATCTCTAGGATCAAAGTTATCCCTGTCAGGACTTCTAAGGGACTGTGGGTGGAGCTGAGCTGATTCCCCTGAGCAGTACCTTGCCCTAGCAAGAGGTTAGGCAGCAAACTGACAATAGGACTGATCGCTGCTATGAGGTTAAGGTACAGGAAATCAACTTTATTTACCTAATGGAAATCTAGGAATAGCTTCGACCAAACTCATCTCCAAGTTGATACTACTTAGTTCAAATGACAATGAAGGGCATATTTATGGCATGCTGTGTCTGGGAGGAAAAACTGAGTTAGAAACTCCTATCATAGTCAAAAGGGCTGAATATAAGGGCGCCCAGATTACAAACAGCCTCAAAACATCCAGTACAGTTTATTTTAAAAATCTCTCCTAAAAATTATAATATTTGTAAATCACCTTTTCAGGAAACTGAAGTTTTGAATATGAGCTCAAACTTTTAGTATAAAATGAAGGAAATGGTAGAAAATGTCATGTTTATGAATTCTCTACAGAAAGTCATTATTCTTTTGGCACTAATCTTGCTTCTCCCACTCCACAAAGTACACTATCATTTTATGAAATTTTTAGATGTACCACAGAGTAGATGGAAATTTTGAACATTAAAAAAAAATAAATAAATAACTGCCAAA